TGCACAACGTCATAGCAACATAACTAATAAGAGTATATAATAAAGAAGACTAATTTTAGGAACATTTCTAAACTCTAAAAATGTTTCACCTGAACATTAAGTATGATGAACATATAATAAACGATTAAGATATCAAACTGCCTAACCTTGTCTTGAATTGTACAAAAACTATAAATTGGACAAAAATGAAATATATATACAATAATTGATTGCATAAGTTTTAGCATAGCAATTTTCCTTTCGATCAGTCAGCCTGTTTTAAGGAGTGAGAGATATATGTTTCCCAATTATTTTTAATAATTTTTATTTTTAGACAGAAACTATAAATTTGCACTGATTATATTATTTTATATATATTGCACTATTTAAGCGTTTTCGACGACGTGTTTCTTGACCATATAGTTCATTTCCCAAAAGGTTTTGGCGAGAAATATGACATTTGTTTGTATTGACTATTATTTAACGACGCGCGTGCATGTTCCGAAGTGTTTTACAATTTGTTTTTATTAGAGTTGATAAGGTTGAATGCATGCAAGTTGCAAGTTGAATGCATGCAAATTAAAAACCTTCATTTTGGCTCCTACGCATGCCGTCTTTTCAAACAAGGAATTGATCATTGTAATTGATTGTCAATTCCATGAGACATGCTGACTGCTGAAATCGGTCGGGGACCCGTCATTTATAAATTTGTTTAGATATACGAATCTCTAGAAAAGTCTAATTGTAATTATTTCCTAAAATGTCTCAGCCATAAATATTGTCGTTTTTGTACTAACGAATGGTAGACGAAATGCAAGTTTAGAATTATTTTACAATGATTATATACTGCATGAAGTCAATCGATACGAATGAATGAGATTGCTGCATGATGTGATTCAAATTTAAAGGTTTTTTTAAAAATATTTTATGTGAAACATCATCGCGCCGCAGGGTTTCGCCTTTGATTTGGCTATTCTATTGTCGTCGTTACGCAGTCTTTAGTCAGAATCTAACCCAGGAAATGTCGAGTGTATCCCTGATTTTACTTTTATCTTGGAATGCATGAAGGAAATCGGTTTGGCTGTGGCCGAGGACGAACGTAGCTCGAAATGTGTTGGCGTGACAACCGAACATTTTTATGCCTACCCCCCGCCATGTTGCCTTTTCAAACAAATTATCTTGTGGGAAAGTTCATCAGTCATAAAGTTCATTGGCTATACAACGCCAACGAGTTTATTCTTTTATTTTTTTAATTCTGCCTGTTTTTTTCTTACAATTCGGCAATTCTAATATGCGAATCTCTAGATTTATTAGCGATTCCAAATTGAATTGGCTCTTCGATCACTTATTTAACTAATCTACATTACCAAGTACTATACCTACTATGAGTAGCTAAGCTATGAAGAGTTAATACATCTATACAGTTAAAAGGTTTGAATCCAGGTTCATTCATTTTTTGTTTGTTTTATTGTTCTTCTAGATTATTACAAAATTAAATAAGTCTTCGAAAATGGTTTTCGTATAGGAAACCGAAACGTCAGACAAAACTTATTTAATTTTGTAATAATCTAGAAGAACAATAAAACAAACAAAAACATCTATACAGTATACATTCACACAGTCACAGTACATATTTCACAAAACAGATGTAACAAAACATAGTCATTTATACCCCGGCCCGAGCCTCTCGTGAGCCAAGTCTGTGAGATAGACTTTCACACTTGTTCTAAAAATGTTGAAATCTTTGCAATTTCGCAAACAATCTAGCAGAGAGTTAAATGCAGCCGCAGCACTTTCCTGAAATGTTCCGCTTTCGGTTGGAACTTCAAGTTGGATCCGTGATGATGATCGTAGAGTTCGTCCTGGTACACACTGATCTACCTTAATGTATTCAGGCCAATTACTAAAGTACAACAGTACTCTACTGGTACTATATATTAATGGTCTCAATAGTACTCTTATTATTAGTCTCAATAGTACTCTTTAGTCAGGATCTAACCTATAGGAAATGCCGAGTGTATCCATGATTTTACTTTTATCTTGGAATGCAATACGTATAAAAGAAATCGGTTTGGCTGTGGCCAAAGATGAATGTAGCTCCAAAGCTGACTGCCATACGAAGTTGTCAGTAAATTTCGTTTGTTGCAAAGGAGACTCTTGCAATAGCGAAAGAACATGTACGCCGTACAATTGTGATGGTCACTTTTGTTTTACAGATGGTGATTGTGCTAGAAATGAATGTTGTATAGACACCAAATGTACCGATTCTTTCCGCTGCAGGCGATGTGATTCAACTGGTCACTGTATTTTGGATGAATATTGCTGTAAGCGAGGAAATCACCCAAATGTATATCGGAGAAGTTGTGTCGGTGAGGAGTGCGCCGAAAATACAGACTGCAGTGGAGGTCCTGATGAGCATTGTGACTCCAATGGAAAATGTAAAAACCGTGAGAGATCATCTTCTTGTCTGGTGGGGAAATCGCAGGAATCGTTATTGGAATAATCGCGTTTAGCCTATTATTACATTGCTGTTAATATAAAGTTAACAAAGTACCGAGCAATCCTCTTTTAATTAATAATAAGCCAGTACCCAGGACTAATAAATATTCATGCCTTGGCGTGAATATGGACGAATGGTTGTATTGGGACAAACAAATTGCTTCTATCTATTCTAAGGTTGGTGCCGGTATTGGTGCAATGAGACGGGTTAAACCTTTTGTACCACTGTTGACAACCAAAATGCTATATAATGCTATTGTACAGCCTTATTTCGATTATTGCAGCCCGTTAAGGGATAATTGGGGAATTGGCCTCAAAGATGGGTTGCAAAAATACCAAAATCGTGCTGCAAGAATCAGGGGCGCACATTCAAAAAAAATTTGAGGGGGTGTCATATTTTCCGGACCGACTTTTGTAGTATTTGTGTTTGATAAGAAAAGCAACTATTTTAAGGTGCGCACAGTACTCGTGAACCGGTGAAATTTCGGTTTAATTAATGTCACAGTCTTGTTATAAATACAATTAATATAAAATTTAAGAGTTGGACGTATGGTACAGGGCCGTAGGAAATTCTTTTCGATTGGGCGGGGGGGGGGGACTGAAAGCGATGGCCGAGGCCCGAGGAAATTTTTAAATTTAGAGTCTCTGCAATGCCATTTCCTGGACTTTGGGGAAGATTTAACAGAATTCTGATAGTCAGAAAAAAGCGTTTTAGTATGTCGAAATTTACAATTTAGTAGTACTAAATCGCCGAAGGCGTATTTAATTAACTATTATATGTTGAATAAGTTGCAGGAAAGTGTGGGTAATACCATGGATTGTAAAATAACATGTACTTTATTATCCATGGTAATACCTTCATTCTTTGCAGTTTGTCACAGATTAAATGATGAAGGTCTGCATGACATGCTACGGCCCTGTGGTTATTGCACAGTCGAGTAACTATGTAAAAAAATAGTATACAGGGGTGTCAAAAAGTAGACCGTTAGAAATTAACCTGTTGTTCTAATTTGAATTTATAGCCAGTATATTAGCCACAAGCCCACAGTATTATTAAAGAATAGTACATTATTAAAGTCAAGAGCTCAACTATAGACAATAATGGTTCAAAATAAATCTATAGTGCGTGCCCACATGATATTCAACTAAGAGTATTAAATATCTGACAACTCAAATTGTTTAGAAAGTTATAGCAATTAGCAATAGATTTCAGGCAGTCAAATTAGTTTTTAAATAGTTCACCTGCACAGCTTATTTGATCGAAAAATGACAATCGGAATTACTTCACA